TAATTTGCTTTATTGTGATATTCACTTTATTTTGGTGGTCTGGACCCATACCCACAATATCTCTGAGGTATACCTCTATTTGTAATTTCACCTATTTTGAAAGGCCTTCAAACAAATGAGAACTATTACAAATAACATCACATATCTGATCCTCTATGAAATTATAATGATTATCTTGACCAGTCTAGATCAAGAAAGTAAACCTGTGACTTTGTGAATCATGACACAGAGTTGTCTCCTAGGGTAGATGAACCTTAGTGTGGATACCAGGGTATGCTCCTCAGTTCCATATGTAAGATGCTCAATTTGGTCAGATAGTTAAATGATACCAATCTCTCAGAGAGTAGCTTATAGCAGTTTAATGCAAAATGGATCAATGTATAAATCCAAGTGTTAGCTTTTTTTTCAATAATCATAACCATCAAAAAGACTGCGGCACATAGGATAATGATTACTGAGTTTCCTCCATAATTATAAGTTATACTGGATCATATATAATGAGGAGACATGGGTCAACATGTAATGAGAAAACTGGGATTTTGTTTGAGTGATTTTCACAGATTTTTGTCATGGCACTTTTGTGGCTTAATGCGTCTATCACTACAGGGATAGATCTGGCTAGGGGACTGGAATGTTCCCATCCATTGGCTAGAACATCTTTTATGTTGGACAGGTTTGTAATACCAGTTTCAATTTGTACTCTCTGATTCCTGTTTTCTATGTTTCAAATTGATCATGCCTCATCATTTGACTCATTTTTTAGATACACTTAGGCTACCTAATAGGTTATAGGAAAGTTTTGTTCTTCTTGGCTTTAGATTAAAATACATTTTTGTTCAGTATAAGTTTTGCACATGTATTTTCACATCTACAATATGTTAATTCTGTTAGCTTGAATCTCAGTTATGGGGAAAAGTGTCATTCTGGCTGTAGAATTTAATGTTAAGATCATGGATTTTGTACTTAGGCCAATCAAGGTATTAATTCTGGCTTCCCCGCACACTAACTGTGGGTCCTGGCAAATATTATTTCACTCTCTTAAGCCCCAATTAACTTATTTAAAAAATAGAAGCAATACTGTTACTTAACTCATATTGTTGTGGTGATTATTGCATTAGATAATGTACACAAAATATTCACAGGGCCTAGCACATTGTAAATGCTAAGAAGTTATTCATTATTTATTACGGTATAAAAAGCTCAGAAGAAAAACTTTTTACTAGCACCATTATTATTGTTTATAAGATGAATATGCAAAAGAATATAGAAAAGATAATCAGTGAGCAACTTTAGTGTTAGTTTATAGGAAATCATTTCTACCTTCACTTAATATGCAAAAATGATTAGTGCCAATTTGGAAATTAGAGCTGGCAATATTGATAACAGCTACTCTTACACCTGAGCACCTTTTAATATGTCCAGCAAACAGTGCTGCTCCTTCTATTTATTCAACACTTGGCAAGTTGAACTATCCAAGTATGAAAATATTATTTTCAGGGAAAGCTGTTATCTGTTTATCTATATAGAGTGATAAATACATTAAGTTTTTAAACATATTTCTGAGTCACATTAGATTTTTCCATTACTAAACTAAGAAAATATTATATACAAAATCATTTACCCTCATAATTATATCTTTGTAATATATGTTTTCATATTTCTGTATATTACAAAATAGAAATTATGTTTCATTTCTAATCAGAGACAGATGAAGCCTTCGGCACCTAGAAGGCAACACAGATCCTGGAAATATCATAAACGCCAGCACACATATAGTGTCTCCTTGATGGTATCAGATGTGTACCTCTAGCAAAGAGCATCCATGGAAATAGCTGAAAAGTAGAAGGCAGGTAGGTAGGGGACCAGATAACAGCTTCTAAAATAATAATGAAATAAAACCACAAGAGGCAGCTGTCCCATGAATTGAGCAATACAATTCAACTGGATATGGCAGAACAGGGTGACCTGATACAAATCTTGGCCAACCACCCTATAGGTAAATAATAGTAAAACATCTTTTATCAATTTCAGGTTCGTTTTCCTTCTCACCGTCCTCGCCTAAATCCTGCCCATTGTTCAAATTCCAGTTTAAGTCTCACTTTATTTAATAGTAATATGGGAAATCACAAAAATGGTATTTACATATATGTTCTTATTTCATCTTTGAAACAACTCTTTAAGGAAGTAGATCCTCAGAAATGTTAAGAAACTTGACAAGCCATTTGTCCAAAGTAGTATTGATGAGTTTAGGATTTGTGGAGAATAAGGTTCTTATGCAAGATCCATGTGAAAGTTTGTAGGAGGTTGGATAGGTGAGTCTTAAGTTTGAGGAGCAAAGCATGACTAGACATAAGGTTTTGGAAACCATTATCAATTAATGATGATAGTTTATAACAAGAGAATAGATGAGATCCCACAGATAGAGTCTCTGGAATAAGAGAGGTGGTCTAAGATCTGAGGGGTCTTAAGACAAAACTCAGGAAGACACCAATATTTATTTTTATTTTTATTTTTTATTGCATTTTAGGTTTTGGGGTACATGTGCAGAGCATGCAATACAGTTGCATAGGTACACACATGGCAGCGTGTTTTGTTTGCTTTCTCCCCTTCACCAACATTTGGCATTTCTCCCCAGGCTATCCCTCCCCACCACCCCCTCCCACTGGCCCTCCCCTTTTTCCCCCAATAGACCCCAGTGTTTAGTACTCCCCTCTCTGTGTCCATGTGTTCTCATTTTTCATCACCCGCCTATGAGTGAGAATATGCGGTGTTTCATTTTCTGTTCTTGTGTCAGTTTGCTGAGAATGATGTTCTCCAGATTCATCCATGTCCCTACAAACGATACAAACTCATCATTTCTGATTGCTGCATAATATTCCATGGTGTATATGTGCCACATTTTCCCAATCCAGTCTATCATCATTGGGCATTTGGGTTGATTCCAGGTCTTTGCTATCGTAAACAGTGCTGCAATGAACATTCATGTGCATGTGTCCTTATAGTAGAATGGTTTATAGTCCTTTGGATATATACCCAGTAATGGGATTGCTAGGTCAAATGGAATTTCTATTTCTAAGGCCTTGAGGAATCACCACACTGTCTCCCACAATAAACTAATTTACACTTCCACCAACAGTGTAAAAGTGTTCCTTTTTCTCCACATCCTCTCCAGCATCTGTTGTCTCCAGACTTTTTAATGATCGCCATTCTAACTGGTGTGAGATGGTATCTCAATGTGGTTTTGATTTGCATCTCTCTGATGACCAGTGACGATGAACATTTTTTCATATGATTGTTGGCCTCATATATGTCAGGAAGACACCAATATTAAAGTGTGAATGAAAGCACAGCAAGCAGCATACAGAAACTAAGAAGGAGCAGATAGAAAGGAAGAAAATCAGCAGAGTTTCGTGTCACAGAAGAAGAGGGGACTGAATTTCAAAAAGGTATCAATTAAAAGTGTCAAAAGTTACAGAAAGATAAAGTTAGAAGAAACTTGCATTATTGGGTGGGGGCAGGAGGTGGGGAAACAAATTTGAACATGCTCATACTGTGATGGGGAAGGAGCCAATGACGGGGAAGAGGCTGAAACAGAGAAGAGAATGGAGAGCTATGAATGGATTGAACTCCCTGAGGAGATGGGAGAGGCTGGTATCCAAACCACAGGAGAATAATTTAGTTTTAAAGTTGAGAAGAGAAAATCCTTCCTGTGAGAGTGAGTGAGGCAAGAACTATGCAGGAGGCTTAAGGACAGTATGGCTACTGAAAGGCTTAAGAGAAGGAACTGAGCAAACAGCAGCCTTCCTTCCCCCACACCATAACAGAAAATCTCTTCATATGCCTTTTGGTATCCTCTGAAAGCCCTCAGAAATATCTGAGATCCAACATCTTCACTAGGATTCGCTTTTCTCACACATGTTCACACACATTGCCTCATCATTCATCAGAGCATTCCATTCCAGGATGCTGAGAAAACAAAAATATCTTTAGCAGTCTGAACCATGTGAGGTATATAGTCCCAGAGAGACATAAGTATGGGACTTTAATCATATCCTCTTTATCCATGTCTGTGGGCAATTATTTAAAGTCATTTTGTTTTTGACAAGTTGTCTTACCCATTATCTTTATGTTTTTAAAATTTATAATACAAATAATGTGTAGCTAATTGATAGTTTATACTATTTTAATAAATAATTCAGGATCTCTCTTTAAAAAAATACCTGTAACTGTCAATTGGAATATATATTTAGGACAACTTAAATTGATACTCTGACATTATAATTCTCAAACTTGGCCCAAATAAACTCACTACTTATATCAACTTTGCTTCAGTTTCTTCCTTTTAGGTTGACCAGGCTAAGTTCTGAAATGTTTTTTCCTTCTTTTCACTGAATCAGGTGATGTATCCTAATAGTAGCCTCCTGTTTTTGATAGCTCTTTGTCTTCCAAGAACATCTTGGTCTGGCTTCCCTTTCCATCTTATCCATTCATTTATGGTAGTGCTGTATTTTTTAGTGTCCCTGGTTGGACTTCACCTGTGGTTTGAATCTTGTAATCCCTCTAAAACTGCCTCATGTACAGGGTATATAACTGCGTCTGGTTCCCATTGTTGCCCCAACAAGGGCATCTACTCCACCAGCTTGTACCCTATTCACTTTCCTGAACTGGGAGCCCTGCAACTGTATTCTTTGCCATCTACACCTCATGCCCCTACTCCTCCAGTACCCCTAACTCCACCCAGAAGTTCTATGAGGTCCTTTAACCCACCTTCCCTTTCAGAGCAGAAGTGTGTGTGTGTGTGTGTGTGTGTGTGTGTGTGTGTGCTTGAAGGTCCACTCCGGGTGTGCAAATGACCACTCTATTGTCTCCAAAAAACCTGCCCATCCCCCTCCCTCTCTGTGTTCACTGTAGTTCCCAACTGAGCCACCTGGTGATTCTCCACGTGGGGGCGTGGTGCCCTGCCAAAGGAAGCTGGTTCCAGCAGGCCTTGCGGCATGACTCAGCTTTTCTCTATGACGCGTCGCAGAGTCGGCTCGGGGTTTGGCGTGGTGAGGGAGACCTGCTTCGCCGTTTGTGAGAACAAGGGAGTGAGGGAGGAAGGAGGCCAAGCAGGAGGCCAGGACTGAGCAAGGACTAAAGTAAGACTGAGAGGGGAGAGGAGGGACGGACTAGTTGGTGGCAGCAGCCTGTACTGGAAGCGGCGACACTAGTGAGGCAGCTGCTTGACTAGGCCGCAGCTGCTTGACTAGGCCGCAGCTGCTTGACTAGGCCACAGCGGCCATGGCAGTGAACTTTGCGTACCACGCCAGCGGGTTCCGCCACAATGATGTGATCAAATTCATTAATGATGAAGTCCACATGAATGGGGGTGGCCCAGCCTTTTACGTGGCCTTCCGCTCGCGGCCGTGGAATGAGGTAGAGGACCAGCTTCGGGCCATTGTGGCCGACCCGAAAGTGCCGCGGTCCGTTAAGAGGGCCTGCACCTGGAGCGCGTTGGCTTTGAATGTGCGAGCGGCCATGAAGCAGCAGAAGCAGCTGCAGTACCAGGTTCGGCGGCTGCAAGGGCATATGGAGGAGCGCCAGGCGGCCTCCTGGGCTCTGACCTCCCAGCTGGAGCAGCTGCGCCTGGAGCGTGAGGCGGCGGCAACAGAGCTGCACTTCACTCAGTCCGCTTTGCAGCAGGCGCTGAATGAGCGTGATGGGCTGTACGGGAGGCTGCATGAAATTGAGAGATCCATGCAGGTCTATCCGATGCCTCAGAATTTTGTACCTGGTCCAGGAGCCATCCAGTATGGGCCTGTGGTCTGTTGTTTAAATGCAGAACAGAGAGAGGCAGTGGCCACAGGAGCGCAGGGAATGCCACATTCAGAAGGCCAGATAGCAGCCCCAACAGCTGTGTTTTACATGCCTGAAGCCCAGAGTGGCTGGATCCAGGGCATGCAACCCCTTCTGCCAATGCAGCCCCCACATCCAGGCCCATTCTATGTGCCTTCACAAATGGAACTGTCAAACTCAACACTTCTACCACCCCCAGTAGTAATGGAATCATCAGCAGCAGTTGCACCACAGATGCCTCCTTCAGGGACTTATCCACCTGGTCTCCAGGCCACAGTGGGGTCCCAGGAAGGGATGGCCCCTCAGTGGGACCAGAGGTGCTATGGCCAGGATGGATATCCTGAGAATTTCCAGTGTGTATATCATCCAGGGGATAACAGAAGCCACAGCCAAAAGGAAAGTTCTGAGTCTCCCCAGGGAATGACCTCTCAGGGAGACAGAAGCAGCCATAGCCTGGAGAAAGATCCAGTGATGCACCAGGGTGCAGCTCCCCAAGAGTTTAGCAAGAGCCACAGCCTGAAGAAAGAACCAGAGATTCCCAAGGAGATGGTCCCCCTGGGGGACAGCAGCAGCCAAAGCCTTAAGAAAGATCCAGTGATGCACCAGGGTGCAGCTCCCCAAGAGTTTGGCAAGAGCCACAGCCTGAAGAAAGAACAAGAGATGCCCAAGCAGATGGTCTCCCTGGGGGACAGCAGCAGCCAAAACCTGAAGAACGATCCAGTGATGCACCAGGGTGCAGCTCCCCAAGAGTTTGGCAAGAGCCACAGCCTGAAGAAAGAACCAGAGATGCCCAAGGAGATGGTCCCCCTGGGGGACAGCAGCAGCCAAAGCCTTAAGAAAGATCCAGTGATGCACCAGGGTGCAGCTCCCCAAGAGTTTGGCAAGAGCCACAGCCTGAAGAAAGGACCAGAGATGCCCAAGCAGATGGTCCCCCTGGGGGACAGCAGCAGCCAAAGCCTGAAGAAAGATCCAGTGATGCACCAGGGTGCAGCTTCCCAAGAGTTTAGCAAGAGCCACAGCCTGAAGAAAGGACCAGAGATGCCCAAGCAGATGGTCCCCCTGGGGGACAGCAGCAGCCAAAGCCTTAAGAAAGATCCAGTGATGCACCAGGGTGCAGCTTCCCAAGAGTTTAGCAAGAGCCACAGCCTGAAGAAAGAACCAGAGATTCCCAAGGAGATGGTCCCCCTGGGGGACAGCAGCAGCCAAAGCCTGAAGAACGATCCAGTGATGCACCAGGGTGCAGCTCCCCAAGAGTTTGGCAAGAGCCACAGCCTGAAGAAAGAACAAGAGATGCCCAAGCAGATGGTCTCCCTGGGGGACAGCAGCAGCCAAAGCCTGAAGAACGATCCAGTGATGCACCAGGGTGCAGCTCCCCAAGAGTTTGGCAAGAGCCACAGCCTGAAGAAAGAACCAGAGATGCCCAAGGAGATGGTCCCCCTGGGGGACAGCAGCAGCCAAAGCCTTAAGAAAGATCCAGTGATGCACCAGGGTGCAGCTCCCCAAGAGTTTGGCAAGAGCCACAGCCTGAAGAAAGAACCAGAGATGCCCAAGGAGATGGTCCCCCTGGGGGACAGCAGCAGCCAAAGCCTTAAGAAAGATCCAGTGATGCACCAGGGTGCAGCTCCCCAAGAGTTTGGCAAGAGCCACAGCCTGAAGAAAGGACCAGAGATGCCCAAGCAGATGGTCTCCCTGGGGGACAGCAGCAGCCAAAGCCTGAAGAAAGATCCAGTGATGCACCAGGGTGCAGCTTCCCAAGAGTTTAGCAAGAGCCACAGCCTGAAGAAAGGACCAGGGATGCCCAAGCAGATGGTCCCCCTGGGGGACAGCAGCAGCCAAAGCCTTAAGAAAGGTCCAGTGATGCCCCAGAAGTTGGTTCCCCTGGGGGACAGCAGCAGCCATGGTCTGACAAAAGAGCCAGTGATTTACCAGGAGATGGTCCCCCTAGGGGACAGCAACAGCCACAGCCTGAAGAAAGATCCAGTGATTCCCCAGGGCACAGCCCCCCCGAGGCTTAGCAACAGCCAGATGGAAGATCAGGAGAGGCCCCAGGAATCCCTTCTGGAGGACAGCAAGAGCCATGATGTGAAAGATAGCCCATGGAAACACCACCAGCCTCAGGACCAGAAGGTCAAGCAACTAAAAAGGAAAAAGGCCTCAGAATCCCAGCGACAGAAGCCTGCTCCATGTGCCCGCGTAGAGAATTGGGACTGCCCATGGTGTAATGCCTTGAATTTTCCACGGCGCAAGGCCTGCTATAAATGCAAGAGAGCCCGTATGCCAGTTGAGAATGGCAGCATTGACCCAGCATAAACTCAGTGATTTCAGGAAGGTAAGATGGATGCACTCCAAAGAGAAACCAATTTCCCAGGACCCCCTTCTGATAAAAAAAAGTAACTTATTTACTTAACAGAAAATTTGAAACCAAAATTATAGAGAAAATTAGATAAAATAATCCATCATTCTATTAACCATATTAAGTACTTTTTATCATTGTGAGTATACATACATACAAATACGTATGTATTTTCTTATTTTATGCACTTATTTGAATAAAGACTACTGAGTATCACATTCAGCCTTTAATTAGGGGATTTCTCCTAATTGCATTCAACTTTTTCAGGTGCTAGATTCTGGTTTTCTGATACTAATTTGTTAATTCGTTGACACCCTGGAGAAGCAGAAGTTATAAAGCCTGTTTTAAATAAACCATTTTCTGTTTTTTCTCAAACTCCTTTTCCTGAAAATGCCATGTATTTAGCTCAAGCAGCCATGTGATTTTAGAGTTACAGGCTATGTTATATTATAGAAACGCCACTTTTCCTTGCAAGTGCTATCATTATTTTGAAACTACTGCAGTGTTGATTTTTGCTTTTTGTTTTATTAGTTTTACAGATGAAGTCCTGTTTTGTATCTTAGCCCCACCAAACTTGCTTGTTTCTGAAGAAGCTGAACCTACGACATTACAAGGTCACCAAAGGCAAAAGAAGTAACACCTCAATTCTGATGGACCCACACCTCGCTGAGACCCCAACTGTTTGCAGCCAAGAAGAATGAGAGGAAGTCAGGGAAGAAGAGATAATTTTACACTCATTAGGGGGAAAAGGAAGAACAAAATAGATTCTTTTAGAGTTGAAGTTTTTTTCATTGGTATGGGAATTAACTTGGAAAAGTTTGAGGGGGGTTGTAGTGTTAAATTCTATAGATGACAGGAACTTTGATTAATTTCATTTAATTCATTAAAGAAAGAGTTATTGTCTAGTACGTTTTGGGAGCTAGACTCACTGTTATTATCTAGTACACCCAGCATAATCCTATTTTGTGAGTTTAAGATAGGAAAGAACATAATTTGGCATACAAATTAGATCGGGGGTGTCTTCTTTGCCTTGCATATCACGTGACCTTGGATAAAACCAATTGAAGTAACATCCAGATTCATTTTTATGGTTCTGGGTCCAATGAGAGAGACTTTCATGAAAGGTTTCTTGTTTTGTTTTTGTTAGTTTCCTTTTAGAGATGAGGTCTCACTTTGTCTCCGAGGCTGGAGTGGAGTGGCATTATTGTCATAGCTCACTGCAGCCTCAAACTCCTGGGCTCAAGGGATCCTCTGGCTTCAGCCTCCTGAGTGGCTGTGAGCTGCCATGCCCGGCTCTTATGAAAGGTCTCGAGTAACCAAACTGCTCATCTCATTGGTCCCAGGTAAGACAAATGAGCAGTGACAAAGTTTGGATAAGTGTCCTCACAGAAATGCAGACACAGCTTTTCTGATTTCCTCCTTTGAGAGGGATAACTATTTTACTGGTTGCCCACCAGCCTGCCTGAAAGACCTGGGGTGTCTTAAAGAAAAACAATGCTTTCGGGAGTGTTCACTATACACACTAGCTTTGAGCCTCTGGCTGCCCCATCCCAAGTCCCTTTTCAGTCAACAGTAGATGAAGAACAAAATGGATTCCAAAGACAAACATTGGAGGCACCAGGTTATGGATGGTGTTTCTCTTAGGAGGAGAAATTGGGTTAAAAATAGAGCTAGAATTGGGCAAGCACTCTTGAGAATAGCCCAGGACCCCTCTCCTCTCCCTCTTTGGTGTGTTCTCTATAGGCTTGCCCAAGGCAAGGAAGGAGCCAGGATGGAGTCCAGGGTAGTTGGTTAGATTTGCCTTCAGTCCAAGCTAAAGATGTCCTTGAGTTTCCCAATGAAATCCCACCCAGCTCACCAAAATCAATGTTTGTAGGCGTTTTTCTGGTCCTAACTAGTAATAAAGAGTGTTCGCTTGACTGCTGTGTCTTCCATGTAGTGTGTATCTCAGGGTAGGTTTGCTTAGAGGTGGCGTCTTAAATCTGCATCTGCCCTTCATCTCAGTGAAGTGAAGAAAAGTTCCATCTCATTCACTATTGGAGGACATCTCCTCTCCTAAGGAGTTACCCAAGAATGGGGGCAAGGTACTATGTGGACTTAGACAATGTATTGATTGTGATTTTCCCCCCTACATTTGTTGTCTAAGTCTACATAGTACCTTCAAGGTGGGCACTTCTGCTGCTCTGGAGCCAGTGGGAGATGGGAATGTCTACTGATGGTGGAAGTCTTGATGCCTAGGGTCCAGCCTCCTTATGTGCACCATATAGCCATTCTCTGTGGGGCCCTGCCTTCTTTCTGGGGTCTTTGCATAGAGTGAGAGGTGCTTAGGTAACATGAGCAGTAATCTCCTTTTCTTTCTTTTCTCTAAGTCACTCTTCTGTTAGCATAATTCTGTCAAGATGTTCAGGATTAAAGAAAACCAAATACAGGTTGGAAGCATAAACATCCCCTGAGATAAGGGAGGGAAATGATCTGGACATCTTCTGGGAATGAGTATGGTGAGGTAAGAGGTGAACAACAAAAATAATCTTACCATACCATAAACTTTTCTCAGAGATGTGACAAACAGGAAGGGCTTTGTTTAACTGGGACGAAAGTACAAGAAAAGAAGGGGGCTGTCAGGGAACAAACACCTAAACTTTTGTTGGGGAGGAGGACAGATGCTATAATATTTTGTATATCCTAATGGCCCCTGTATGTTTGGAAATATGGGTATGTGCAGGTATTTTTTTCCTCCTGGGTCGAAATTTAGTGCTGGTATGATAGAGGAGGAAGAGTAGAAATTATAGTGGTGGAGGAAGAGGGGAAGGATTCCAGGTGTTGCCAGTAGTGATGGTAGGTGTGGGCCTGGTGCCATTGCCTTGCAAGCACTTAGGAAGGTGGTGGTGACAGAGGAGGAATATGGGTATTGCTCTGAGCAAGGGAATGCAGGGAAAGTGGGAAGAGTCCTATTAGAGTCTTTGAGGGCCTCAGAATAAGAGAAGCAGTATTTTTTTTTTTGCTGCTTACCCATTCCTTCACTTATTCATACCTACCTAGTGGAGCCTAGGCAGAAGCAGTATTGCCTTCAAACTCCCATGTCCATTTCTACCCTTTAATATAAAAGCAGAATCAAAAGAAGCAGCTTGAATAAGGGCATGTCCTGTGAGACATCGGTTGACAGGTGTAAAACGTAGAAAATGCTTCTCCACTTACCTTGGACTCCCAAAGTGCTGGGATTACAGGTGTAAGCCACTGCAGCAGGCCTAAAAAAGCACTTTTAAAGGGACCGTGGAGTTTTTCCTCAAACGGCTCAACTCTGCAAGTCAGACTGGTCCTAGCACCCCTACCAGACAGCTACAGTCAATGCTAGGGGTCCAAGTGCCCCTGGAAGACTCCCCCCAGCTTTCCCCTGGAAGTGGGGTGGAGCCAGCAGAGAATTCTAGGGGTGACACTCACAGTCCAGGAGACTTCTGGTGCCCAGAGGGTAGAGGAGTGGAAGTCTGGGGGTGCTCAGTCCCACTGTGTCCTGGATAGGCTGAGCTGACTTGCAGGCTGGTCCCCATGGATGCTCAGAAGGAAAATGTGCAACAGCAGGTCAGGAAGGGAAACCAAGTCAGGAAAGGGCCCCAGCCATGGCTAGTGGTCCACTCCCAGCAGCACCCAGTAGCACTTTGTTTTATGTGGCACTGCTTGCAGAAGAGACAGTTGTCTGGGGGTAGCAGCCTTGGACCCTGGGTTCCACAGACAGGAGGATCTTGCAGTCCTCACACCTGTAGCAATTTTCCTGGAAGTTTCTTCTCGTGCACCTGATTTTGAAGGCATCTTTCACATCCCAAGAAATAATGGAACTCTCACAGATGCTGCATACTGGGGCGAATTTCCTGCAGAAGTCATCCAGGCAGTACACCTTGTTCTGGCTGCCCAGGGCCAAGCTCTCATTCTCGATGCACTGGCTGCAGGTCACACACATGAAGCAGGAGGGGTGGAAGGCTAGGCCCAGGGACCTGATGATGTCCTCCCAGACCACCTCCCTACACTTGCCACAGTTCTCCAGTGTGTTCTGGTAGCAGGGTTCGCAGAGGACTCGCCCATCCTTCCAGTAGAAGCTCTGCCCAGCCAGCTGGCAGCTACAGGTGTGGCATGTGAAGCACTGCGGATGGTACTGCTTCTTCATGGCCACCACAGCCAGCTCTCCGGGGGAACATGGTTTTGTGGCAGAAGGCACAGATGTCTGTGGATGCCTCTCTCTTAACAGGCTCTGTTGGGGAAGGTGGAAGCTCTTCGTCCACGGGCCTGAGGGGACCAGAACCAGGCTGAACTGGGGCCCAGGTGGCAGTGGGGGCAGGGCAGGTGTGGCTGCTCTAGGTCTGCAACGACTGATGCACCTATTGGAGCAGGTGCTTCCTCTTAAGAAGTCAGGAGCACCTGAGCGGGTGGTGGATGGGGCGGGAGGAAGTCCAGGTCAGGAAGCCTGTCATCCTCATCCAGAACAGGAGGAGAGGGTGAACATCCTCCATTTGAGAGCTGCAGAGGTGCCTCTGGCACCGTGGCTACAGCCCTGCCAGGGGGTTTCCAGAGTCTGGGCCTCCCTGCCAAGCCAGCCCCTGGTGCTTTCATGGGGGCAGGGCCCTGCCACGGGATGCCACACCAGACCTCACAAACTGCCTGACTCACTTCCTCAGCCACAGCTACATGGATGTGCATGGGTGCCAAGGTGATAAAAACAGATGATGCCACTCTCTTCTCAGGCTTTGAGGCCATGGCTTCAGCTCCTAGTGTAGCTGGGATCCCATGCTCCTGGAAGGGCTGAAGTCCTGGATGTTCAGGCCAGCTCTGCTAGTCCACCTGCCCCAGGCAGCTCCGATTTGACACCCCATCCAAAGGATTTGACCGCCTTGACTTGGTAAGTGGAGGTTGCATACTTGAACCACTGCTTCATTTGCTTCGATAAAATAATGCATGAAATGACCAACTGGAATAAAACTTAAACATTCACTGGAAAACAGGCCCAGCATTTGACAGCCAAATTGAATCTTCTCAGAGAAATTTCCACACTTTTATTACCATCTAGGAAAAAAGTAATGTTCGTCATATTAGTTTGCTAGGGCTGCCTTAACAAAGTACCACAGACTGGGTGGCTTAAACAACAGGAATTTAGCCTTACAGTTCTGAAGGCTAGAAACCTGAAACGAAGATATTGGCAGGGTTGGTTCTTTCTGAAGGCTATGTGGGGTAATCTGTTCTAGGCCTTTCTCCTGGGCATGTGGATGGCTGTCTTGTTCCTGTGTCTCTTCACATTGTTTCCCCTGTGTGTGTGTCTGCCTCTATCCACATTTCTGTTTATAAGAACAGCAGTCATATTGGATTGGGGGCCACCTTTGTGAGCTCATTTTAATGAATTAAGGTCACATTCAGAAGTACCGGAATTTAGAACTTCAACATGAAATTTTTGTTTAAGACAGAGTCTCACTCTGTTGCCAGGCTGGAGTGCAGTGGCCCTATCTCGGCTCACTGCAACCTCCACCTCCCAGGTTCAAGCAATTATCCTGCCGCAGCCTCCCGAGTAGCTGGGACTACAGGTGCACGCCACCACGCCCAGCTAATTTTTGTATTTTTAGTAGAGACGGGGTTTCACCATGTTGGCCAGAATGGTCTTAATCCCTTGACCTTATAATCCACCCACCTCGACCTCCCAAAGTGCTGGGATTACAGGCGTGAGCCGCTGCACCCAGCCTTCAACATAATTTTTTTGGGGGGATCACAATTCAATCCATAACATTAATAAAAATAGTTCTTCTACTTAGACATCTGAATTTTAGAACAATTAAGACTATTGAAACTCTTGGAACTTTTGTGTAGTATAGGGGATAAACAGAATTTGTATCCTAGCACTGGCACTTGCTAGCTATATGATATTAAGCAAGTTGCTTATTCTTTCCCTGCCTCAATTTCCTTATCTATAAAATGGGAATAATTATGCCTACTGAATAGGGATATTAATTAATATAAGAAAACATGCTTAGCACCATACCAGTTTCAGTTTATAAATCCATTTGTATTATTCTTCCTTACCCAGAAGTAACAGTGAAACCCAGCTGAATGGCATTAAATAGGCAGTCTGAATAGTTACCAAAAAATTCATATATATGGACATGTACAAATTTATAGTTTCTCACTAGTGAATGGCAAAGCTTGTTAATTTCCAAGATATATTAAAAGAAAGCAATGTTCATTTGGCTGAGAGGAACATAGTGCTAAAGAGTCTTGAGTTCTGTTCTATCTAGGGCAATTAGCTTCACTTATTGTTTCCATGGTTTAACCAAGGGAGTGAGTCAGTTACAGATCAATTGGTATACATATCACCCATTGAATATACCAAAAACGTTACAAGATAAATCAGCTTTTTAGTTTTCATGGTAATTTTATCTCTTGGTGCTCCCTGTTTATAAAGAAGAGAAAACATCCTTAATTTCTGAGAAAGTAAAAATGTAACTATCACACATTAATTTGATTCCAGCAGCTAAATTTCAGTTGAATGCACTACAATTTATTTATAATTATAAGCATTGTGGTGTGGCTAGGCTACCAGGCATTTTTTCTGTCTGATCATCTTTCTATACTGTAATCATATTATGAGGATCAGTATGTAACTAAAAGAAGAGTGATTTTTATTGTTGATTTAATTACTATGTGAGAGTAGTACATTGGAGCTTTTCATTATAAGCACTGTGATAATTGATCATTCTAACTATTGGTTTGAATAACTTAAATGTAACCTGTAATTTCCACAACCTGAAATCAATAAGGTACATTTATTTTTAATTAAATGGATGCAAAAATAAGACCTCGGGAAAATGTACAAATAAAAGCAGTAATTTAGTTTTAAGTACTGTATTGGTTATCTATTGCTGTGTAACAAATTACAGAATTTTGCAGT